CTTGGGCTTTGGAAAACAGTGATTAAATGTTTAATGTTTGTGTGTGTGTTCGTTTGTTTAGAGCTTTGGTCGAGCACAACCCAGGTGGAGTTAGACTGTCCACTGACGACTATTTCACTCGCCATGGAGAATATCAGTTTGACCCCGCTGCTCTGGGGGAAGCCCATGAGTGGAACCAAAAACGAGGTAAGCAGCACACACACACACACAGTTTTGATAAGAACTGATGCAGAAAAAGCAAGTCAATTCATTTGCAACTTATTAACCTTAAATAAATGTTATAATCTATGTAACTGATTGCCATTGTTTTTCTTGCTGTGTTGTTTTTTTTTTTTACCGTGGTTGCATTAAAAGAACATATTGTTTCTTTTTCTTGTTCTTTCTCTCTTGTGCCAACTTTACTCTGTAGCCATAGAGGCCTTTGAAAGGGGTGCTAACCCCATCATTATTGACAACACCAACATGCAGGGCTGGGAGATGAGACCCTATGTGGTTCAGGTCAGTCAACTTGCATCCAATACATAAAGCATGGTGACATATCTCATGTCTCTGACTGAGAGATTCATAAAACCCCTCTTAAATAACAACTGATCGATAACAGTGTAGATGGGTTATGCTTGAGCCCCTATTTGTCCCTTATCTCTCCTAGGCACTGAAACATGGATACAAGGTGCTGTTCCGAGAGCCGGACACTTGGTGGAAGACCAAGCCCAGAGAACTACAGAGGTGAGAGAGGAATTAATGTAGAATCTCTTTTTTAATAGATTATTTTTTTATAACAGCAAAATGCTGTTAAACAATTTTATATATTCCAGTTTTGTGTCTTGTGTCTGATTGTGTGTGTGTCTGTATGCATATGTAGACGTACTACACATGACGTGCCAGTGGAAACAATTCGACGCATGCTTAATGGATATGAGCGCTTCGTCACAGTCCAGTCGATCATGGGTTCACAGATGCCCGAGTTGAAACAGCGCCTACTTCTGGAGAACAGAAGCTCACAGTAAGTGCTGCTTATTGACTGTCTGGATAAAGAAGACCCATTTGCGATTGTGGCTCTCATAACGTGTTTCTATGTGGACAAGGTTAACTCATAGGAACGTATGTATAATAACATACTTTACCAAAGAAATGCAGTGAAATTGACTGTCAATGCATAGTATTTATATTTTTACAGAGAACTGATGAAACCTTTTGACAACTTGTAGCATGATTTTTGTATCTAGTTTCTACTGGGGACTTGTACTGGTACTACAAATGCAGATGTGTTGAAAGTATCTCATTTCCAATTGTCTGCAATCCCAGAAAGAGAAGAGTATACATTTCCAAAAGTTGTAGGAAAAATGTTGTATTTAATTTGGCATATATTCATATCATCTGTTTTGCATTGCTCTCTGTTGCCTTAAGTGAAAAATAGTTTTTGTAAACGTCAAAAGGAGTAATTCTACTATTTATAAATGCATATAAGGTTAAATATTACCTGTTTTAAAAATGACTACTCCATTGTGTTTAAAATGAATGAATATGTACTAATAAACATGAATCATCCAAATCATGCGGTTAAATCAGGCATAATGTTGTTATTCTGCACCCATCTATAACTATGTTAACTGTGCCATTCATATCTTTCTTCTTATGTCTAGGCTGGTATCTTCTGAAACACCTTGTCCTGACCTTGTTGGGCAACCTGGATTGACTGAGGGACGTAAAAAATCCTGCCCTCAGCTGTTTTCCTCCCTTCCTGACGTGTCATCTATTGGTCATTCTGGTGAGGTAGGAGTTCTGGAAGACGGCACCCACAAATCTACGGAGTCCCTCAATTTCCAGCCTACTGGAGGACTCACAGAGAGCCCTGAAATGTCTGACGGGGTTGATTCAATGGATTTGGGGCAATTAGATTCTGAGCTGGACGCCGCGTTGGAGCTAAATCATCCAACAGGGGATCAGAGAATCCCCGACTGTATTGTGGAATCGGTGATGAATGAGGATTATCGTGGGGATGAAATGCCCGTCGCTTTCTTTGAGTCTATTGGACAAAGAGTGAGGAGAGAAAGACCAAGCAGGAGGTCTGGTTTTGACAGGGCAGAGCCTGCAGATCTGGTGAAAGATACTAAACAATCAGACAGCGATGCCAAGGAGAAAGAAAAGATGAAGGAAGAGGAGGAAAAAGGGGTGGAGATTGCGAGGGATGGGGGAGAGAAGGGAATGCTTAAGATGTTAGATTTTGTAGGAGACTGGCCTTCTGAAGGGACTCTCGAGCAGCGCCAGGTGAGGAGAAGAGAAAGGCATAAAGAAGGAAATGGCGAAGAAGATAAAGGCGTGTCCCAAGAAGCTAACGAAAATAAAACTAAAGTGCAGTCGGGACCCAATGTAACAGAGTTTCAGAAGCTTCTTGATCTTATCCAGACAGGTCAAACTGCCACTCTGACCAGCTCTTCCCATTCATCCTCCTTTTCCCCGAGCTCCGGAGAGGAATTGGAGAAAGGAGAAGATGCAGGTGGCAGGTTTGAGGAATCCCATAGCAGTAGATCTGACAGTGAGGAGAGAGAACAAAACATGAACAGGGTCAACAGCAGCAGAGGTGAATTACCTGACTGTGTGTTAGACGGGAAGGCAGCTAACTCGTGTAAGGCCAGGGAATCGAGAATTGATCAGTGGGAGGCCCTTAAAACTGAAAATGAGGCGAGAAGTACCACAAGAGGGAATGATGACGTGTTAGAGATTGCCAGAGAAAAGAGGACTGTGGATTTGAAATCAACTAGCCCAACAAATCCCCTCCCAGCTCCTACTGCTGATTCACTAGTTGTATCCAATACCGTGGAGGCAAATGTATGCCATGATGGACTGGGAGGCCACAGTATGGATGATAAGGTTGGTACAGAGCCTGGTACTGGTCCTACTGATGTGGACATAAATAACTGCAGAGAGACTAGAGTTGAGGCTGATGACAGTCAAACTAGTGAAGTGTGTCAGAGTCCTGTCTGTGAGGGCTCTGTGGAAGCAGAAAGTGGAGCTTTCAGTGGAGGCAGTCAGGAGAGAAAGCAGCGCCAGGGTCGTAGATCGGGGAAACAGTGCAAACTAGCCCTCACGTTTACTCAAAACTGCCCCGCCACTTCAGTGAATACTCTTGAATGTCCCGATACCACTGCCCAAATTATAAACAGTAGTCAGAATAGCATCAACACAGATGTTGAACCTAATTTTAATCCTAACTGTAACACTAGCCTTAGCCTTGCACCCAGCATTGACCTGTTCACCGATTCCAAAACTGAGCCACCCCTGAAGCCTCCTTCCCCACTTCCTCTGGTAGACACAGGCTGTCACACCCAGACAGAACCCCAAGACTTTGCCCTTCTTTGGCGTCTCAATCATCAAGACAGCCCCGATGAAGCAGTTATCAATGCATGCTGCCACCCTAGTGACATCGCAGTCCTGTCTGGAGACTCCTCTCGCTTTGTGCCGGAGCTGTCCACTGTCGTTTCTGCAGCGGTTGCAGTTCACCCATCTGGCCACAGAGAGGTACCCTACCGCGTGGTGCATGAGAAAGGCACACAGGTGGAGGAGAAAGACTTTGGGGCAACTCAAGACCGCCTTAAGAGCTTGCGCATTCTCAGCTGCCATTTTAAACTGGTTAGTTTTGATACATTAGAAGATCTGTATGACAAATGCCATCAGGACTTAGAATGGACCACAAACCTGCTGCTAGACTCTGGAGAGAGGTTCTTCAGAGATGAGGATGGTGAGAAAGAAGAGGAGGGTGAAGAAGACCAGGACACATCCAGTCTGTGTGGAGCTTTAAGCAAAGCTGTAGAAACCAGTTCAGGTCCTAATGCGTTAGATGAGCATCACCCTGATGATTGGCCTAGATTAGAGGAGGTGACTCAACAGTCAACCTTTGGGACCGTTGTTGAGTCAGATGAGAGCTCCAATAATGCCGATAAGTTTGGAGGTGCAGCTGTTTCAGTTAGAAACAATCCTGATACAACCTCACACTTGGAAAAATCTCTTCAAACAGAACGTATTCTTCCTCAAGCAGTAAACGAAGGAGAGAGATGTAGTGACACTGACCACCAAGTGACATCAGAAGCTGACGTAGAAGGCGGCGCTTGGGGTGGAAGCTTTGATGACGGAGTAATAATTGAAGAGTCAAGAGTTGAGATAGAGAAGGAGATTGCGAGCATGGACGAGGTCCACCGGCTACTGCAGGCTGAGCTAGATGAGATGGAGAGAGAGGAAAGACAGAAGGAGGACGAGAGGACTGAAAGGAGGCACATGGAGGAGAGAAGGAGTCAACACCTGAACATTCAGAGTGTGGAGCTGAAACTACCCACTGAGGTGGCACTACAGCTCACTGAGCTGTTTGGTCCTGTCGGAGTAGACTCAGGTGACTAACACACGGGTGTCACACTGAAAAATACCCTTTTTAAGCACTTAAGTTAATACTTATCAAGTATTAGCCTTGAGGCTCCTGGACAGAATAAAAATAAATTTAACAGAAGTTTAAACTCTGCAGCCAATTGCTGCATAATGTGGGTGTGATTGTCAGATTGTGTGTTTTGTAAAATTACAACATTATATCACCTCGAGATTCTGAAATGGGTTTTCATACACTGTTACTCATACACCGTGTTATGTAGATCTGAGAAGCACTTTGTTTGAAACATACTGTGGCATTTAGTTTTCATTAATTAATTGCTAATAAAAATATGTATTTTTATACTTCCCTGGTACTCAAAAATATTTAGGTACATGCTCCACTGAGGACTATGCAGTGCAGATGGACCTGAACTTGGCTAAACTGCTCCACCAGAAGTGGAAGGAAACCATTCAGGTGAGCTCTTTGTGGCTATAATTGATAGTTTTATAACAGTTAATCACCTACATCGACAGCTTCTGCTTTACAGAGAACCTAGCATTGCTTTTAGCCCCAACACCCTCTAAAAGCCACTGTACAATACCTGCTCAGTATTAAACTGCAGACAGACACAGTTAGAGACTAGCTTGTGGACATAACGAAGCTTTTAGCAGCTAAAGAGCCAGATATTTCCCCGAGGAGGTCATAGAGAGTAAAAACAGAGCTAATAAGAGATTGAATGTTGGACTCAAAATGAATTATATGAACTTAAAGGGTGGTAATATGTCAGTATTGTTGTGTTGTGTCTTTACCAGCATCCATGCTAATGTGAATCTACCTGTGAGCGAGTCTAAGGGGGTCTCCATTCGTTAATTTGACTTTTAATGCTGTTTTACAGGAGAAGCAGAGACAAGCAACTCTTTCCTTTTACTTGCTTCAGGAAAGTAAGTTTTCACACACACACACACACCAGAAGTTCTCAGACATCGTCATAACATCATTTTGTTTCACAACTACTGAATGTTTACGTTTGAATGTGTAGGTTCAGTCCACTGGGGTGAGTCACAGTTGGCCAAACCTGGGTCTCGAGACCGGACACAGCCAGCACCGTTCCTAATTAGTGCAGATGGTTACGAGTCACTGGACAGCCAACCAGAGGCCCGTAGTCAGATGCCATTCATGGACCATTGGAATGTGTCCCTCCCACATGTCTCTCTCAGAGACATTATAAAAGAGGAGCAGGCTATGCAGGAGAATGTGGAAAAGGTAACACGAACATCTACTGCACCTGTGGACTGAAACATCTTGGATGATAATATCCTGGTTTTCTCTAACCCCGTGCGACCCTCCGTCTTTCAGACCAGACAAAGTCGTGCGGACCTCGACCGACGTGACGGAGCTGCCCTGCTGAAAGAGAACCAGCTATACTCCCTCTTCCCTACCATTGACAGGCATTTCCTCCAGGACATCTTCAGAGACAACAAGTGAGAAAGCAACTTTGAGACCGTATTAGTTTTGTTTATTTGTTGAAAATGCTCTTTAAAGCTGCGAAGTCATTTTATTTTTTTCTGCAGCATGCAAAAATGTATGTATCTCATGTGTTGCACAGTTACAGCCTGAGCCAGACAGAGCTGTTCCTTCGCTCTCTACTGGATGAGGAGCCGGTCAAGACAGTGGTCGCTCCAGAGGCACCTCGGTCCGACCACCACAGAGCAGCCAGCAAAGAGAGGGAAAAGGTATTCACACACACAAGCAGAGGGAGAAAGAACACCGGTATACATCTAACTTATTTCACATGTGTAACACATGCACTGTGTAGTCTCATGTATAATGTCCATCACTTAACCTCTGTATCTCTTTTTTTAGCTTTTTCAGTAATGCACCATACTATCTAAGTATTTTGACAATGATTTTATCACTGTACAGGCAATTTTGTGAGTCATGATGTATTGCGAGAGTGAATTTATAACTCATTATAATACAACTGTGTTACTGTAGAGAATGGTATACCCCTAAAATGCTAAATACATTTAAAAAAAATTATTTTTATTTTATTAATATTGTGCTTTATATCCCTACAAACTGCATCTGTACTACATAACAATATATAAGTACTGATTACCTTTTCCACATTTAATTAGCTAGCTTAGTCTGAATCCCTCTTATCCCTTTTTTAATTTGTCAGAGGCAGAATCCCCTGGAGTTGCTTGTACCTGACTATCAGGATACGGAGGATCCAGAGTATGAGGACTTCAGGGCTGAGGCCAGCCTACAGAGGAGCCGACAGCTCGAGAGTTTCTCCAAGGCTGCTGAGGCCTTCAAGCAAGGACGGAAAGAAGTGGCTTCATTTTACGCACAGCAGGTGAGGAGCTGAATATTGTACTGTAGTTTTTTCACATGTGAAGCATTTTATTAGCATTTTCTAAATGTTTTTCATTTGTGGGGGGAAATTTAATATATTAGATGTAATGTTTCTAACTTTAAGCTCTTCTCTTATTAGTAAATTCTCAGCTTACGGTAAATTAATTTGTATCACCTCTCTCTTAGGGACACATGCATGGCAAGCGGATGCGTGAAGCCAATCACCGGGCTGCAGCTCAGATTTTTGAAAGGGTCAACTCATCACTGCTGCCCAATAACATCCTGGACCTCCATGGGCTGCACGTAGATGAGGCCCTGGAGCATCTGGCTCGGGTCTTAGATAAGAAAACCGCAGGTAATGAATGGTATACTGCACTGTATACACTCAGTATGAGTACAGGAGCAGGATGAGAGAAGATTTCGGGGCACGTTATAACTATAATACACATTCTGTTACAGGTACCCTCAAAAAGTGTGTTTCATAGCTGAAAGTGTATATGTGTGTGTATGTATGTATGTATATATATATGTATGTATGTATGTATGTATGTATGTATGTATGTATGTATGTATGTATGTATGTATGTATGTATGCATGTATA